GAAAACCAGAAGTGGCTCTGTGGCTCAAGTGGTAGAGTGCTAGCCTTGAGCTGAAGAGCTGAGGGACAGCACCCAGGCCTAGAGTTCAAGCTCCATCACCAACAAAACAAACAAACAAACAAACAAACTGGAAAAGAGTGGGATGGGTGATAATGTTGAAAGGGGTAACACTGATCAAGAGGCACTGCATTCATAAACTGCTGTTGAATGGCATTCCTTTGTACAACTACCTAAAGGAAAAAATATATACTTTAAAAATAAAAATAAATACAGGTGCCAGTGACTCACAGGCCAGCCCCAGAACCAGCACGTACACAAAAGAAAGTAAACATAACAAGAGAGCTGAGCATGATTGTACATACTTATAATCCTGTAATCACAGCATTCAAGAATCTATGGCAGGAGGATTTTGAGTTCAAGGCCTGTATGAGCTACATTGCAAGATCCTGTCTCAAAAAACATAAACATGGCAAGAAACATTTTCTCTGCAGTAAGCTTTAAAAGGAATCAAATTAGTGGATGTGTTGTTTAATGTACAATCCAAAAAACTTCCAACATAGATTACATTTTTCTTTTAGTACCCTCCAGCATCTCTATCACACTCACCTGTTAATGGTATCCAAGTATGGGCAGTGGCGGCTCCTCCGGTCTTCAGAATCAACACGGCCATTCTTTGCTAAAAGGAACACCATCATACATCAATTATCAACACACACACACACACACACACACACACACACAGAAAACCCCGATTAAAATAAGCTCAATCCTAAATTGAGCTCCTATTTTTCAGATGGCAAAAAACACCCCCTAAAAAAGCCCAGTAATGGGGACAGAAGGTGTAACTCACAAGGCCCTCAGTTAACTCACTTTTTTGGGGGGATGCCAGTCCTGGGGCTTAAACTCAGGGCCTGGGCACTGTCTTTGAGCTTTTGTACTCAAGGCCAGTGCTCTACCACTTAAGCCATAGCTCCACTTCTGGCCTTTGGGTAGTTAACTGGAGACAACAGTCTCATGAACTTTCCTGCCTGGGCTGGCTTGTAACTGAGATCCTCAGCATCCTTAGTAGCTAGGATTACAGGTATGAGCCACTGGCACCAGGATACATAGTACAGATTTTTAATAGTGATAAATAAAAAGTTCTATCTGTGGCTGGATGTGATGGTACACACCTATTATTGTAGTTTCTCAAGAGGCTAAGACTGGGAGGACCATGGTTGAAGGCCATCCTGGGCAAAATCCTTACAAGACCCCATCTCAATTAATAAAAAGCTGGACATGGAGGTACATGCCTGTCATCCCATGGATTTATAAAGAGGAGGATCGAGGTCTAGGACACCCAGAATAAAAAGTGAGAATCTATTAAAAATAAATAAATAAAAGGGGATGGGGATGTGGTTCATCCGCCTAGTAAGCACAAGGCCCTAATACTGACCCCAAAGAAGATCCTATTTTGGGGGGGGGGGGGGAGAGGGGAGGAAGAGTTCAGTAACAGAACAGTCCACAAACTAGGAGACTAACATACATGTTTACAACACATCTATCAATAAGCTTCATTATCACATAAAGGAATCCAAAGAAACATTAAAAATACCATGAAACACATCACAAGCAGTAAGATAAACTGTATATCCTCAAATCTACCACTGCTAAAGAACTGAGTAGGATCTGATATTTTACCAAACTATTTGCAAACTACAAGTTGGGTGGAGGCTAGTAGAACGCATGCTGCTATTTGGTCTAAAACAAAAGGTAAGATTATGGCAGGGATAGCAGTTGCCAGACTATACAGCACTGGGTCCGGTTACCAAACGGGATTATGAAAACAATACATTCCACATGATGGGTCTCATTACTCAAGGACACCCTAAGGGAATCGGAATCTTTTACAAATGCTAGGGCACCTGCCGCTTTCCTTCCCTAGGTAGAAGACAACCACCTCAGTCTAACAAGGCTGTTCACCACACCCACCACCTTGACCAGACAGTGCCAGAGACAAAGGCAATCAGCCTCTGGCCACACCCTAGGGCAAAACTCTGGAGAGACCACCGAATTGCGGGGGGGGGGGGGAAGGTGGAGATGCTAATGTGGATTCTAAGGATGGTAGTTACTTTCCACACCGGGGCTGAGGTCACCACGAAGTCCACCCGCTCACCCCCGCCCCGCTCTTCCCGCCTCCGGGCAAGGAAATGAAAGCTCTCTTTTTTCAGGCTGTGAAGGTGGAAGTTGCGCCCGGCCCCGGCCCCGCGCACCTCGCACCTCCCGCTCGGGCTCCGAGTCCTCGTCGGCCTCGCGCTCGCGCTTCACCCGCACGGGCGGGACCGCCGCGGGCGGCAGCGGCGGCGCCTCGCGCGCGCTCGCCGGCTTGACCTCGCGCTTCACGCGCACCGGGCTGCCCCGGGAGCCTGCCGCCTCGGGCTCCCGCTCCCGGTCTCGCTCCCGCTTGACCCGACTCGAGCTGCCCCGCGACTCGGACTCGCGCTTCCCGCGGGCGGAACCACGAGACTCCCGCTTAGATCGGCTGGACATCGCCACTATTACCGCAGGACTGAGCGCAGGCGCCGGGCACGCTCGAGCGCGCGGCCCGCGGCCAATCAGGAGAAGAAGAAGAGCAGGTCAACGCAAACTCGCTACGAATCGCCGAGGAGGACAAATCTAGCTGCTGAAGCCGTACGGGGAGTAGGTGCGTTGCTGCGGGCCGTTCCTGGGCCTACCGCCTCAATACCCGTAGTTTCTTCCCCGATTAAAGAGATCAGTGCCTTTGATTAGTTAGTTTTCTGGATAAAGGAAACTGTCTTGCCACTCCAGATCTTTAAAGACACGCCGTGTTGTCTCCTCCACACCTGAAGACTGGTGACCTTGCACAGGAAAAGGAGACAATATCCTCAAATTATCTCCTTCATGCTTTTAATCCCAGTTTAGTGGGTTATTGGTATCAGGAAAATGCAAAGGCCCTACCGGGGTGCACTTACACATGAAGCTAGTAAAACTGCAGATTCAAGACCTGCCTTGAACTTGACTCTTTTGGAAATGTTTTGGGTAAGATGGGTATGGAAAGGGGTAAGGATATTGTTTTGTGGTGCTGGGGATCAAACCCAGAGCCTCACACTGGCTAAGCACAGGCTTTACCACTGAGCCACATTCCTAACACCTACTTAGGACTTTTTTATTTTTTTATTATAAAGGTGATATACAGAGGTGTTAGTTATGTAAGTCAGGTAATGAGTACATTTCTTTTTGGACAATGTTTACCTTTTCCCTCTCTTCCTCAAGTTTTTCCCTCCCATCCTGCCCACAAGTTGTACAGTTCATTTCAACATTGTGTTTAGTGAGTACCACTGCTGCATTTGCTTACCCTTTGTCCCTCCATTTCTGTGCCCTCCCCTTTATTCTCCAAAAGTGATTTGGGTTTTTTTTAACCTTTCCATTGAAATACAATTGACATATTGGATATTGAGCATTTAACATGTACTATTTGCTAAATTCTTGTTTGGACACTTGTGAAGCTATCACTACAATCAAGGAAGGGAACCTGTCCCACCCTAGAAGGGTCCTGTACCTCTAAAGTATCTCCACCTGGACCACTAACTTACTGTAACTATAGTAATTGTATATTCTGTAGTTTTATACCCAGGTATCATAGAGTGTGGCCTGGCTTGTTTCACTTTCTGTCTTTTCCATGATCCCATCATGGTGAAGTGTTTGGGCAGCTCATTCCTTTGTCTTGTATTGTGGTATTCCATTTTGTGGATGCACAATCATTCCGTTTTGTGGATGTTCCAATCACGAATTCCTGATTTTGACTTTTTTTTTTGGTGGGTCATGAGCCTGAACTCTGAGTCTGGGCACTGTCCCTCAGCTCTTCAGCTCAAGGCAAGCGCTCTACCACTTGAGCCACAGTGCCACTTCCGGCTTTTTCTGCTTATGTGGTACTGAGGAATCGAACCCAGGGCCTCATGCATGCAAGGCAAGCACTCTACCACTGAGCCACCTTCCCAGCCCTGGTTTTGACTTTTTAAAAGAAGGCATTGAAGGCCCTGGCTCCTTCTGCAGGGACAGTTAAGTCACCTGTGCAGTAGGCACTCGAGTGGCTTGTGAAAGGGCAACATAGTGGAGCTGGGGGGGTGAAGCCTGAAAGCCTTCTCACAGCCAAGCACAAAGCACCTTGCAGCCTCATCACCTATTTGTGATAGTTGTCCATGTCCCCATTTACAAATGAGAAAACGAGGTCATAGGAAGGCTACCCGAAAGTCACAAAATCGGTGTTAAAGAGTTATACAGTCTCTCCACTCATCTGATCGAATCACTACTAAATAACCCCATGCTGATGATCACATATATGGTCTATGTATGCACACCGGAGGGAAACCAGGAAGACAACACAGAACTAGAAGGAAAAACATACAACAGCGGGACCCATCAGCTGCACTGGACATCGACCAAAATGAACTAAGCAACTCAATGGCAGCGATGGGAGGGAGGGAACAAGTGGGAAAGAGGGAACAGCCCATGCTATGCAAAACAAAGAAATGTACATATCACCCAATGTGGAAGAAATAACTGTATTGCAAAGCTCATAGAACTCATAAATGTTATAGACCGTGATAGACAATTTGCTCCATGAAAGTTAGAATGTGTTTGTGACTTTAACTACGCATCACTATCCCACAATACTCTGAAATTTGGGAAATTATGTAACCACTTAATCACAATAAAAAAATTTGAAAAAAAAAACTTCTACAATCTCTATCCTCAGGGGAAAAAAAGTGATGTTAATGGGTGCTTTTGTTTGGTTTACATTTTTCTGAACGTCCTGATTTACCTTTTGAAAACGAGTTCCCGTTTCCCATTGATACAACTACAAAGACAACAAAAGCCCGCCCTAGCGGAGGAAATCCCGCCCCTTCCGCGCCGCCAACTCTGCGTGCTGGGATGCTCGGCCTGCCACGCCTCCTGGGAGCGGAAGTCAGGCTTCGGGACCGGAAGTCAAGATTCGGGGCCCGAAGCGTTGCGAGCCGCAGTCCCGGGTGTCGGGGGAAAGGTGTCGTTTGGGCAGTTGAAGCCGCTGTGGTTCTGCGCCCAGGCTTCTCCATGGAGGCGGTGCCGGATCCCGGGCCGGGGCTCTGTTGCAAGCCTGGCGGGCGGCTGGACATGAACCACGGCTTCGTGCACCACATCCGACGGAACCAGCTCGCTCGGTACCGTCCCGCCCTGCTCTCGTCACCCCTGGTCCGGGCTGGCCCAGTGCGGCAGTCCCTGACTCCCGCTCGGCTCCCTGCAGGGACGACTACGACAAGAAGGTGAAACAGGCGGCCAAGGAGAAGGCCCGGAGGCGGCACATGCCTGGGCCGACGCGGCCTCGCAAGCCCGACCTGCAAGTGTACCTGCCGCGACACCGAGGTGAGATGCCGTTCCGCCTGCCGCCCTCCCTGCGGCGCCTCCCCCTTCTCCATAGGGAGAACCCCACTTCCCAGCCCAGCACTCAGAATCCCGCCCCCCCAGCCTCCACCTCAACGATCCCAGGTCTCCGCGTGGAGCTTCACCTGGCCTCCCCCAGCGAAGCATCTCTAGCTCAGAGAGTACTGGGAATCGGCAAGGAAGCATTTGTCTGCCTGTTAGTTCCACCGTACTGCATTCCCACTAGCTCACAGAGCCTCACTCACAAACCAGCAACCAGAACATAAAGAATCAACCAACAAAAAAGTCTCCTTCCCCCCCGCCACCAGCTTTCTTCCGACCTAGAAATCACAGTAACAAATTTGTGAAACTTAAGTTTATCTACTGTAGCTTGCAGTTTTAGATACTGCATATATTACCTCTATAATACCCCGTATGTGGAGAACTGGTCATTCTGTTTTCACCGTCACAGAGAGGCACAGAGAGGTTAGCTAATATGCCCAAGATCTCAGCTCTAGTAAATGGCTGTGCTTAGATCTCAACCCAGACAGAGATCATTCATCCTTCCAGTAGCCTCCAGTCCTGTTTGCTGGAGTCCACCTGTCAGGTACCTACTTTGTGACAGGAATGTGCTGGTTTCCAGAGCAGGAATACAAAGGGAAGTGAAATTCCTGATGAGCAGTACAACATACTACACAGGAAGCCCTCTCTGAAGATGGGGGCTTCTTTGTAGTAAGTTTTCCTGAATCATCTCAGTGGACAAAGGTGACAGGAGTTTCAGCAGCATCCCCCTCTTCCCTCTTACTCTGGTTCATCTTTCCAGATGTCTCTAACCATCCAGTCAACCCAGACTGTGAAGAGTCCGGTGATAGCAGCAGTAGTGGCAGCTCCGAGCTGGAGCCTCCTGGCCGTCAGCTCTTCTGCTTAGAATATGAGGCGGACAGTGGAGAGGTCACATCAGTTATCGTCTATCAGGTATGCCTCATAAATACAGCTGCAACCTGAAGGTGTTGGGTCATACAGAAATCACTGCTAGGCCCCGAACCATTGTTTACCTCAGAGCCAATGGGAAGTTTCTAGTCCACGGGGAAACTGAGGACTTCTGGGTGATGCTTTCCAGACAGCTCTCTCCAGTCATTGTCACAGTAATTGTCAGTAGGGGAAACAGGGAGGATTTATGGTCCCCAGTTGAGAATCATGATCACAGTGGACTTCTGAGAAATGGTAGGTGTCAGCAGGAAGCCTCAAGCCAAATGGAGTTCTGTGCATGTTGTATAGATACAGGGTAGGTCACCCTTCCTGAAGAGACCAGGCCCTGAGCTTCCTGACTCTTCTTTCACATAGGATGATGATCCAGGAAGGGTGAGTGAGGAGGTATCAGCACACACACCTCTGGATGCACCCATGCAAGAGGCCCTCAAGTTGCGTATCCAGGAGGAGATTGCAAAGCGCCAAAGTCAACACTAACCAGGTTGAAGGCATTCTCTCCAGACTGGATTCACTGCACTTGGAAGAATTCTGCCCAGGGAACTCACCCCTTGTTTGGGGGTGCCAGAACCAGTCTATCTGATTTGAGACCCTGTAGAGCTGCTACATCCACTAGGGTGTTGCAGGGCAACATATGGTCTACCTCTCTGGCTGCTATTCTTTCTTAGATATTGGCCATGTGCCCAGCCTATTTTTCTGGAATTTTTTTTTGAAAATTTTGCTTTGCTAATTTGCTTCAGAGAGAACCAGGGTTTGTGAAACCTTTTGCCAATGTGGTGCTGATCACTGAGGTCATCTGGCCACTCCATGAGCCACGTTCCACTCAGCCTCTAAAGCCATGTGTATTATTTTAAAAGTCTTTTTTCTTTCCTTTTCAGTTTCTTTGTTCTTTTCCCCTCTTTTTTGTCTCAGGTAAAATCCATCAGTTTTTTCCCCCCACTTCTGTTCAGTACTTTGGGTGTGGGGAAGCTCCACTTTCTAACAAGTTCTCCAAGTAATTCTGATATCAATAAAGTGGGAGAACTTTTTTTTGAGGCCTACTTGGAAGCATGTCTCCTTCCCCTTCCATGCCTTTTCCAAGTTGCTCATGTTCTACTGCTCTGTAGTTTAGGAAACTACAGATAGAAGACCTCAGAAGAAAAGGCTAGAACTAAACAGTGGCACCAAAACTTGCTTTAGCGAAGGCTGCAGAATTATAGTTTTTTATCTCAGCCCCTAGCCGTGAATAGGTTATCAGCTCAGACTAAAGGGGAACTATGAAAACAAGTTTGACAGTGACTCTCCCATGGTTACTTCATAGTTGAGCATGCATGCCAAGGGAAACTCAACACTAGCGATAATCGGTCTTTTAAAGCTCTAGTTTCTTTCTCTGTTCCTCCTCCGCCTCCCCCTTCTCTTTCTCTTCCCCCTCCCAATGAATACCTTCTCCTGTATCCCTTTCTCCTCTCCCTACTTCCCAAGAGTAAATAACTGATCCTTAAGGTATAAAAATTCCCAGGAAATCTCAGACATGGGGACGCACATCTGTATGTAATTCCAGCACTCAGGAGGTAGAAATAGGAAGATCATGAGTTCAAAGCCAGCCTGGAGTACGTCTTGTCTCAAAAAGAAAAAGAAAAGAAGATGATCCCTAGCAATAGTCCTCTCATCTAGAGAACGGTTTTTCCTTATTCAAGGTTAGGCTAGGATCTGAAGTCCTCAAGACACCCTGTGCACCAGAGATAGTCTTGACTTTAATGACTGGAAATGTGGGCTCTTAAGCCTCTGAACACTAAGACTTACTAAACCCCTAAGGTCTCTGCTTCAAGGGCTTCTCTGCATGAGGGTCTCAAGATCAGTCTGGCTGCTTTACCTCAGCAAGTTTTCTCATAAAAAGCACCTTAGAGTTTTATTGGTTCATGTCTTGCATCCCTGACACACACAGACACAAAATGGGTCAAGGCAGCTACTTCAAGTAGGCTATTAAAATATTAAACACTGTTGGATTTTGCTGGAAGAATGCTAGGGTGGCCAGTGAGGTGGTAAGTTTTTAAAGGGGCCTGGTAATGAAGAAGCCAGGAACCAGAAGTGCACCAGAACCACAGCACTGGCCCAGGGTTAAGTGCCTTATACTTGTTAGTCGTGGACTCCATTCTGCTGTCAAGGAGAAAGTCTTTGCCCTCTACTTATGTAACTATGCAAGAAGTGCCTTTGGACTTACAGTGTAAACTATCCTCTTGAGTCAAGGAGGCCCTGCCAACTCCACCCCACTCTTCCTGCAGGTCAGAGGACCAGTCACTTTAATTCTCTAGCTCTTCAGCTGATTTTATAACTTAAAATGTAGGATTTCCCTCTTAGGCTTCTCAGGCTGGAAATACTTTTTGAAGTCTCTCTTCTTAAAGCTATATCACAAATTTCCTGGTATTGGAAAAAAAAAACCCAAAGCATTGGAGGACACCTAAAATTTTAGCCTTCATTCCTGTTTCTCAGGAAAAGAAGAGGTTAAAGGCAGCAATTAGTATGAACCTGTTGTGTCCTTTTATGTGTTTGCTCACACAATTAAGACCTCAGGTAGGAAACTAATGGAAAAATCTTTATTATTAAAACAATTTTTTTTCTTGAGGCACTTTATTGTGTCTATAAAATATTTTCTGCCCAAGAAAGCACTTCTTTGGTTCTTAGCTAATTTATGTAATATCTGTAAATAAAGCAGTTGTCCTTATGCTAAAGGTAGGCGTGTTGGAGCTGATGCTCTGTCTCCAGATGTGCCTGAAATGCCTCTCGCCTTTCAGCTCAGCCTCATTGCTTACGCCACTCCTCATCTGAGGTCCAAGATGGTACTTTGCAGCTTGCCAGACCTGCCACCAGACATCTGTCACCTATTTTAAAAAGCAGTGCTTTTCCATCAAGGAACATGTCCAGAGCAGTTTTTACAGTTCCCCAGATGACCCCAAGAAGACTGCCCTGTGCTGGGTGGTGAGGTAGGAGCCATGTTGGACCAGGTGGAACTTCTAAGCAGGTGGCTTCAGAAAACAACACTTATTTGACCAGGTATGTTTCTGGCTATTTTAAAACACACACGCACACACAAAACAAAAAGAAAGGCAAATTGGGGCTGGGAAGGTAGCTCAGGGGTAGAGCGCTTGCCTTGCATGCTCAAGGCCCTGGGTTCGATTCCTCAGCACCACATAAGCAAAAAGAAAAAAGCCGGAAGTGGCGCTGTGGCTCAAGTGGTAGAGCTAGTCTTGAGCTGAAGAGCTGAGGGACAGTGCCCAGGCCCAGAGTTCAGGCCCCACGACCGGACCAAAAAAAAGGCAAATTGCAAGTCCATAATGAAGTATTTGATGACTGAAGTCTGAGCCTAGATTTTAAGGCTTTGTTTTTCCTGGGCCACAATGGCTTATATTACTGATAAAAAGGAAGCTAATTTTCAGAGGCCTATGCAAGAGTAAACCCTAAACCTTGAGTTGTAGACAGCTGGGATACCTGGAGGTCTTTGAAGGAGAGACTATAAAATTGTAAGTACTGAGAGTGGGAGCCTCTGCAGTCCAGCCCAGTGGAAGGGTCATCCTATCTCCCTGGTTGTCTGAGGAGCACACCAATTAGACATTAGCCCAGGCAGGTAGCAGGAAGCTCTATGGGGTGGTGAATATCCTGTTGTACATTTGGCAGGATCCATGTGTGGCAGTGATAGGTGTTCCCAGGTGGTAACAAATGTAAATGAGGGCTGTGCGTGTAGAAAGAAGAATAAGGACACATGACTACCACTGAGACGGCTGGGAAAAATCACCTTAAATTCAGTTTGAAACCTTTAACTCCTCTGAATGCCTGCCCTGTCCTTGAATCACATGGTGAAGAAGCCATATTTCCCTAGGATTTGGAGTGAAGGTGCTAGTAAATGCCTTCCCCAGAACCAACAGAACAAGAGGCTGGGTGCACTGGCTGTGCCATGGTGCTAAATGTATAAGAGCCATATGTTCTTTATTCTCGTTTCCAATGTTTGTATGTATGGATGAATAAAATGAAGTGTGCAAAGTATTTGAAAATCATAGGAGGAAGTTACTTTTTGAGTACAATATTTTTTAAATCAATAAACGCTTTTTACAGCCCTGTTTTTGTCAAGAGTTGTGAAATCATTTGTGTACACAGAGAAGTAGAGATTAAATGTTTGACCTAAAGTCTTTCCACAACAGAATCAGCACTGGAAATCTCATCTCTTGCTGTGCTCAACTATTTTAAGAGCTGTCCTGGTTGGAACATAACAGCTAGAGTCACTTAGAATTAGAATTAGAATGGAATTTGGTGTTTGTGCTGGTTCTGAGGCTTGAACTAGGTGCTTGGGTGCTGTCCCTGAGTTCTTTGGCTCGGGTTAGTGCTCTACCATTTGAGCCACAGCTCCACTTTAAGGAGGTAAGAATCTCACGGACTTTTCTGCCTGGGCTGGCTTCAAACTGCAATCCTCATATTCTCCTGAGTAGCTAGGATTATAGGCCTGTGCCACAGGTACCCAGCCTAGAAGGGAATTTTTAAAGATACATGTACCTACTTATCTGTGGCTCCTCCCATTAAGTACCCATAAAGAGTTCTGTCATAGGAATCTCTGTTTTGGAGTAATTCTATTTTAGTAGCTATTTGGATTGTTGTTTTAAAACTAAAAGTGCAGGGCTGGGAAGGTGGCTCAGCGGTAGAGCGCTTGCCTTGCATGCCAGAGGCCCTGGGTTCAATTCCTCAGCACCACACAAGCAAAAAGAAAAAAGCCGGAAGTGGTGCTGTGGCTCAAGTGGTAGAGCTCTAACCTTGAGCTGAAGAGCTGAGGGACAGCGCCCAGGCCCAGAGTTCAGGCCCCACGACCGGACCCAAAAAAAAAAACAAAACTAAAAGTGCTTCTAGTGTCAGTTCTTGGATACTAATGGCTTAGCTTCAATCCCACATCATATTAGAATAGCCACTTGAACCTACATGAGAAATCCTTTTGTAATTCCCCTGATAATCAGACATGATACAAACCCAGCAGAATATAGTTGATTTAAAATCATAAAGCTAGCCAGGCACTCCGGAGGTGGAGGCAGGAACATTAAGTTCAAGATTGGTCTGGGCTAGTCTGCTTTTTAAAAAACAAAACAAAAAAGATTTTAAAAAATCTGCAGGGTTCACAGTCCCAGTGGGCAGATAAGAAAAAAGTACCTGCTTAGGTGGGAATGCAGCTTGACAGAAAGTTGAAAAGCTCTGTGTGACTTAGAAAGCACCATGGGTCTGGGAATGTGGCTTAGTGGTATAGTGCTTACCTAGCACGCCTAATTATGTACCACATAATTTAAAAAAAGCTGGAAATGGTGCTGTGGCTTAAGTGGTAGAGAGCTATCCTTGAGCAAAGAAGCTCAGTTAGTGCCCAGGCCCTGAGTTCAAGCCCCAGGACAAAAAAAAAAAAAAGGAAAAGAGCACCTTTGTCCCTAGGGTGAGCAGATAGTCTAGATTTTATGCCCTGGTCCATTTAGTCCAGTATTCTTTTTTTTGGGGGGGGGGGTCTGGTCGTGGGGCCTGAACTCTGCCTGAGCACTGTCCCTCAGCTCTTCAGCTCAAGGCTAGCACTCTACTACTTGAGCCACAGCGCCGCTTCTGGCTTTTTTTCTTTTTGTTTATGTGGTGCTGAGGAATCAAACCCAAGGCCTTGAGCATGCAAGGCAAGTGCTCTACCACTGAGCCACCTTCCCAGCCCCAGTCCAGTATTCTTGTACAGTGATTACTGTACTGCCATATTTCTTGGCCCTACGTAACTACTAATTAGTGGGGAAAGAGCTCTCCAACAGGTTTCCTGTTCTATTTATTCTGTCTGCCCCTTGGAGGAGGTTTCTCCATTACACAGCTTCTTTTGCTCTATTTGTCTACAGTCCAGGGCCATCTCTGCACATAGTGTTTGTCCCACCATTGTGGCCATCTCACGGTCCTAATTCCCTGGAACTATCCTAGGGAAAAATCATCTGCCAGGGGATAATAGCCAATACATGTTGGGCTGAGCCAGATACATATTTAGTATGTGAAAGGAAGTTTTCCTGCCCTTTCAACGGTGAGAAGAATGTTTAGGTGTATAACTCTTCGACTATGAATTTTGATGGAGCTAATAGATACTTACTCTCCCAAACAATCCTGCCTGCTTTTTCCCAGATTCCTCTGGGTCTCTGGCCTTCCCTTCTGCTTACCACACCTGGCCATGACAATCTACTCTACACCTGTGCCAGCAAGTGTTTTAGAATGACGCTGTGGCCTCTGTAGCCGTATGTCAAGTGTTGATCCGTCACTTTTTGGACACGGTGACTTCTGGCCAGTACTCTGTGTTCTTGTATATAAAAATAAAGTATGGTGAAAGCAGCCCTCGGGTTTGCTGAGCCCTGGGGGGCGGGAGCGTAAGCCGAATCCGGCGTGCTTGGATTTACTTTATTTTGTTTTTAGAATCAGCCAGGACATTGTATGCTTGCTTCTCCGCAGACTTGCCTCTCGCTCAGACAGAGAGGCTGGCCCGGCGCTCCACACTTGGGGTCTTCCCGGAAGGCTCGGGCGGCTGGTCCTGGCGGCGATGGGCGCCGAGGCAGATGAGGCTCTCGTCCTCCCGCTCTGTGGAGCGGGAACAGTCCTCGGGACAGCTTGTCTGGGTCTCGGTGTCAGAGGTCCCCAGGCCGCAGTCCTCAGCGCCCGGGTCCCCGAAGCTGGAGCGCCGCCCACCTCGCCTCGGTGACGCGGGCGCGGGGGCTCGGGAGTTGTAGTCTCGGGCGGGGCTTGGACACGGGGGCTGGGGCTCCGCGGACTCCACGTCCCGGCGGGCGGCGCGGCGCGGCCAGGGGCGCCGGAGGCGGGGCCGCTCGGCCCTTTAAACCTTTCAGGGCTGCTCCGAGGGCCGCAGCCGGAGACCGCGCCACGAGGGGGCCGAGCAGGGCGCGGCGGCGGCGGCTGGGCGCTCTGGGGAGGTGCGTACGGGCTGCTTCCTTTTCCCGGGTTCCCGGGATCACCTGGGGAGGCCTGGGGCCTCGGTCCCGGGGGAGGAGGGTGGTGTCACCAGCTGCGGGCTCCTGCCCAGGCCAGGGTCCCCGAGCCCACGCAAGCGAGGGCCAGGTCGGGTTTCCCACCAGAACCCGCCCCTTGGCCGGGGCTCGTGGTCAGGTGGTTGCCCGCACACCAGCGCCTGGCTGCCAGTCATCCTCCCAGGCTTTCCTTGGCGTGGACACCTTAATTGTCCTGGTCCAACCTTCCTTGGGCAAAGGGAGGGTGGCTCCCTTTCCAGATGTTATAGCACTGCTTGAGTCTCTCCCAGCACCGGTGGCCTTTGGTGACCGCGGAGGCCCCAGATGGATGCCAGAGGGTGTCCACGTTCTAGCGTGGGCTCACCCCAAAGTTTGGACGCTCACAAACATAAGGGGAGGTCTGGATGAGGAGCTAATCATCGTCCCCTCCCCCCTGCCTTGGTCAGTTACCAGACCCTGGACCTTGATCTCTCCCTTCCAGGCCAGAGCAGCTGATGGTGGTGGCAAAAAACTCTCAAGGTAGCTGGGCCGGCCCCCTCTTTTCCACCTACCTGTTGTCCTCCCCCTACACCACCACCCTGGCTCCCCTCCCTCATGACCGCCTGGATCCTCCTTCCTGTCAGCCTGTCAGCGTTCTCCATCACTGGCATATGGACCGTGTGAGTAAAATGGGTGAAGGTGGGAGGGCCAACAGGAGCTTGATGGCACACACAAAGCCCCTTGTCCTGTTGTAGGCTCCAGGGTGGTACCCACGGTCACTCTGGCTGTCTCCAAAGCCTGGCCTGATGCCTGGGCACACAGCCCCTTAGGACAAGCTGGCACCACTGCTGTTCAGTAGGACTGTCCTGACAGACATATTTCTAACTGGGGCT